AGCTAGTTGTACTAGGCATCCCTGACAGCGAAGAGATAAACAGGCTGCAGATACCTTCACGCCCCTCAGCAACTGGGTTCACTGAGCCGCACCACAAAAGGGCAGCCTGATCTCCAAATACAATGGTTTCTCCAAGCTTTTGAAAAACTGCCAAGCTGTTTCTCAAGTCTACACAAAGGGTACCTTCAGGTATTTGGAGAATGGATGGCACAGCCCGGACAACAGGATTTATGACCCTGTCAACTGCAGGGCTATCTCAAATATCCATCTCCTCACAAGAAAGGGCCAGAAGCAGGTATTCCCTCACTGGAGGCAGTGCAGGAATCACATCCAACTCCTGGATGTGTCTCTTTTCTTTCCTGCCCCAGCTTTTTCCTGGCTCTTTCCTGGAGTGAGTGAGTGTTGCCCTGTCCTCCTAGTTTCTCTGTACTGGCCACAGCTATCTGGGCTTTACCATACTCTTCAACAGTGCTTAGCAAAGATCAAGCACAGCAACAATGGAAATACGGAGTAATTTTCACATCCATCTGACTTTGCTCTAAACAGTTTACTTTACTGCCTTAAAGGACTTTTCCCCTTACATAGTAGATATATTGACAAGGAGAGCAAACCATTCGGTTTACCTCAAGTTGGCTTATACCTCAAAGAAAATAGACTCATTTTATTAAGATGTAAGATGAAGACAACGATCAAAAATAATATAACAGAAGCATAAGGTAACATTCTCATCATCCTAATACCTTAATATTGACTTCCAGTTGGCTATAATCGGTGCAGTCTGTGCTCGACAGAGCTAGCTCCCCTGAAAGCACAGCAAAGATGGGGGGCTATGCAGGGAATGCCTGAGCCCCCAGAAGAGGGACAGTGCTTGTCCTGGACTCTGCAGACCACAGGCAGGAGAGGCAGCCTGGAGCCCTGACATCCTTACCTGAGAGCATGGAGCTGAGGGCCCAAGTGATAAACACTGGATTCTGAGAAACAGGGAGAGCCAGCTATGATCCCCGACTCTGCTCTCGTGATTGCCGTCCGTTTTACACGCAACAGAAGAGCCAAATCATGACGCGCTCTTAGGCGGAAGACCTTTCACTGGCTTCCCACTCCTCAGAATGAACCTCAGATATGCTAACATGGTTTCCAAAGCCCTGCTAGTCGGGCACCCGTGTCCCCTTCTGACTCATGTCAGCTCCCTCTCCCTTTGACCCACGGCTGGTCCCCCTACATCCCCAAACAAGGGAAGCTCCCTCTGCCTGGAGCTTTTTCAGGATGGTTTCTTCTCATCATTTAGAGGTCAGCATAAATGTGACCCCCACAGCATATCTGGCCTGACACCCCATCTAAACGAGCAACAAGGCCTCTTTCGTTGACCGAACAAGACAGGCTCTCCAAAGCCCTGTTTGCACTAGGTCTTTCCTTAGCCCAACCCTTGACCTGTCTAAGTTAATCTTTAAAAAAATCCTAGTACTTCATATGCCCCCTGCTATCTGATCGAGTTCTCACCCCCACGCCTGCAGGCCATGCCATTGTCCATCCTTTCACAAGAACTGGGTTTGGCAAGAGTAGCCAGGCCCCCACCCACCCTGTTATCTCCTCTTAGAAATTTTCCACCCTCTGACCCGCATTCTATTCCTTGCCTGTCAACCTCCCAATACCTCTCTGGTATTGGGAATTGAGCTCAGCTCTCTCTCCCATTGCAATGATGTCAAATAACCTGCCCACTGCCTTTAATTAGTGTCTGATTCTGTTTGTCTCAGGAGCCACCCAAACTACTGGTATCAAATCACCCCATTTTAATTCTCTGAACAGAGTTCCTATGACATTATTGCAATGCTTGCTTTATTTATGACCTGTTTCCTTACAGAGGGACAAGACTCTGGAAAAGGAAGGACACTGTCTCGTGATCACCACTTAGTTATCAGGGCGCATCTAGCACTTGGCCTGGCAGTAGCTACAAGCTCAATGAATCCGATGGAGATGATCAAAAATTCTATTTGCATGGGCCTCCCCTGCTGGCGCAGTGGGTGAGCGCTGGGTTGCAAAGCTGCCCGCAGCCTCTGCAGCGCTGGTTCGATCCCCGGCCACCGGGTAAGGGTCCCACATGACGCACAGACCTCTCCTGCCACATCCGCTGCTCCTTTCAGCATTGTACTTTGTCAGTCTGCCTGTTCTGCTCCCCGCTCTGGGGAATTCTCTCACCCTCCTGCGCTTCTGACTGTACCCAGTGCTTGCATAAATAAATAAAATCTTAAAAAAAAAAAATTCTATTTGCATGGTTAAGCTAAAGGAGTATGAGAATGAGCACAAGAGAATCTTCAAAGGTAACATATACATAGGAATTTTATTAAGAGTCAGGAAAGACGGCAACAAATGCCTAAAGTTGTTCCCACTTGTTTCTTCTGCACACTGCCCCCCCACCCCACCTCCGCAATAAAAAGAAAGATATAAAAAAAAAAAGGTGATCTGAGGAATCATCACTTTTACTTGGTTTAATACATGTCTCTGCGGGAGAAACCTTTCTTTGCTACAAATTCCCAGGTATTGATTCTGTGCCAAGAGAAAGCACAAGAAAAATAAAAATGCAACAAGCAAATTCTCATAGGGGAAAAATTGTCAAAAAGCAGAATTTCATTCCCTAAAGTTCTAAAATCTGACAGATTTAAGAAAACAAGCAAATAATAAAATGCAGAACAAGGTGGGACGGGACACCTGCCACCCACTGCTGAGATGACACATGGTTTACCGCAGAGAAACCAGGCCCCCGCGCGCTCTTCCCTGCATGGTCTGAAGCAGCCGCAAGGAAGCCCCGTCATGGGTGGGATGCTGGTCTCTGCAGACAGTGACTTCCCCCAGCACGGCCACTGCTGCCCACACAGAAGGTCCACTCTCAGAAGGCCATGATGGCAGCTGTCTTCTGGACACACCTTCTGCCCCCTGCTGCATACTTTTCTGCGACAGTCACTGTCATTGCTGCCACTGAGTCATCTCTCGTTAGCTAGTGTCACGGACTGAAAAGTCCATCCAAACTCATGTTCATGTCCTAACCCCAGGGCCTCAGAATGTGATTGTATTTGGAGACAGAGTCTTTACAGAGGTAATCAAGTTAAAACGAGGTCATTAGAAGGAGGATAATCTAATCTGACTGGTGCCATTAGAAGAAGAAATTACAACAGAGACAGCAATCAGGGGCAAGACCCTGTGAAGACACAGGGAGAAGCTGAGCATCTACAAGTCCAGGACAGAATCCTTAAAGGCCGCCAACTGAATCGCGCCATGGCTTCAGACTTGGGAAATGAAATCTCTCTGGTTAAGCCACCTGGTCTGTGGGGCTTTGCTACAGAAGTCCTAAGGAAAATGACACAGCACCAAGAGATGCACAGACTTCTATCAGAGCACAGCACTTGCAAAGAGGTATTCTTACATTTCAGAGTTTTGTTCTCTCTCCTAACCAGAAGGCTCCTTCCTAGATAGTAGTTCATTAAAACTTCAGATTTTCTGGGCCTCCCTGGTGGCCCAGGTAGTTGAGCACCTGCACTGTGAAGCTGTCCACAGCCTTTGCAGAGTGGGTTCGATCCCAGCCAGCCAGCGTGAACCCCACATGGTACAGCAGACCTCTCCTGTCTCGCCCACTGCTCCCCTCAGCAGTGTATTTCGTCAGTCTGCCTGTTCTGTTCCCCACACTGTCTCTGGTGAATCCTCTCACCCTCCTGCACATCTGGCCTGTACCCTGGTTCTTGTATAAATAAAAATAAATCTTTAAAAAAACTTCAAATTTCCTTAGTCATATCTATTCACTTACTTATTTCAGGACTTCATTCACTTCCCACAAATGAAGGATACTGAAAACTCTAAAGCAGGGACAGAAATGGAATGGCACTATACATAAAATTGAAAGAACTATAAATCTGCTTTGTGAATGATTTGCAAATTCTACTGATATCACTCCTCTTCACACCACTTCTACATCAGAAATATTTTGGTTGACAATGAAAGTAACAGCTGGGACAGCAACATCTCCCCAAAATAGAACACACTTTGTTCTATTTTTCTTGTATTCACCCATTTTTTTATTTTTGAAATTTTCATGTTACTTTATAATTCATAAGATAAAATCTTCTAAAGTACTCTCACTAGTTCCTAGAATAGAATCAATAATATTTTTTGCAGAACAGGTAAAAAACTCATTTGGCTGACTAAAATTACAACCTCAGTTTCTATCTCTCCATGCTTCCACAGCAGCAATCAATCCTTAGACACGCACAGAAGCACTATTCAATCAATACTATTATGTATAAAATAAAGATAAACCTGCTCTGTGAACGTTTTACAAATTCTAAGAGTTATCACCCTCCCTCATACCACTTCTACATCAGAAGGTTATTAAGTCTCAATACACAGAGAACTGTCACCTTTTGGAAAAGGAACCTTTCAAGGTAATTTTTAGATTCGTTTCATTGTTATCTTCACAACTGCCCTACAAATTAGGTAAAGGATATCATTTCCATTTTGGGTAGAAGCCAGTGTGAGGACACCAATAGTTAATGCAGCAGATTCCAACATATGTATTTAAAATAAAGTTAACAGAAGATAACCAAGAATGCTTCAAATTATACTGAGTTTCTCCACCAGCTGGTATGTAATCAACTTTGTTATTTTGTATTGTGCACATGTATATACACACACATGCATGCACACACACTTTCTATACAAGTAAGAAACATCAGTTCTTGACTCAATTAACATAATCATCTCTAGTCTTTTTTAAACATAAATGCCTCTGATTTCCACAAACTTAGAGGCAATTTAGAGATGATTTTTACTTTCTTTGCCTGCTGCAAAGATTGTATTACAAAAACTAAAGAATTAAATGCAACCTAATGCAACATAAGAAACTTTGTGTTTATAGTTGCAAATATTCTAGATTATTAAATTAACATTTCTATTGTGGCAAAATATGTATAAATTTTTTAGCTAATGTTTAAAATACAGTGAAAACATTTCCTTACCAATATTGGGGTGCTTTAAGAGACGGCAGATCCTAGCTTCCCTTTCCAGTTTCTGATGATCTGTTTTAAAAAAGAATATATAGAAAAGTCACAATTTTTAGCAAAAAAAAATGAACATGACAGTCACAACATACCAAAATGACCTAAATCCTCTATAGTTACTTGTCCTTTGATTTTTTTTAAGTAGTTGAATTTTACATTAGGAAAACACATCATAGTTTTTAACAAGCTAATTTTCTTTATTTTTCATTGACTGGAAACTTGATAGAAGTAGAGAGTGAATTTGGACTTGGGCTGAGGAAGATGATGAAAATGGCAAGAAACAATAATACTCTTTCTTATCTTTACCTTCAGGATGTACTGTCACAACAAGTCAAATAACCCGGTAGAGTTCAAGACATTCCAGCAGAGACACTTATCTGGAATTTTACCCCAGGGCAGCCCTTGATCACACTTTTCTCCTAGTGCGGAATCCCAGTGAAGGCCAGGCAGCGTGTGCAGCTGTCATTTCTCCCTAGCCTCCCATACTCTGGACTAGACAGTCCAGTTCACCTTTGTCTTTTGTGACCCAGCATTTCAAAGAACGCCATCTTATCTAATTTTTACAGAGAATATTTCTCATTTTGGTTTGGCCATTGCTAGCTCATGATTTTGTTCAGCCTTCGCCATGTCAGCCAGAACATCCTCTTTCTCAGACTCACATCTGGGGGAACACACTGTCTCAAAAGTGAATCCTTTGATTACCTGGTCAAGGTGCTGTTGAATTTCTCTGCTAAAGAATTCTTTTTGCTTTTTTTTTTGATACTAATAAGTATGTGGGAAGACTTAAATCCATGAAAACATCCTGTTCATCACAATTTTCCATTTACTGACACTTTCTGCCTGAAGCTATCTTTACTATGATAGTAGCAAAATGCTGATTTTTCTCTCCATCACAGTAAAATGTTTTTAATTAAAAAAAAACCTGTATTTCTCAAAACAGAAAAACTAATGAGAAGAGGACATTCTTTCACATTTTTGCTAATCTTTAAGATGTCTGGCTTAAGAAAAAAGAGCTAAATTCTCATATTTGCTTCGATATTTAACTAATTCTCTTTATTTTTCATTGACTGGAAACTTGAGAAAGTTAAATAGAGAAATGAATTCAGAGTTGGGCTGAGGAAAATGATGAAAATGGCAAAAATCAGTAATAATGCATTGTTGGTTTGGTTGAAATGAATGAAAAGAGCTCTGACTTCAGAAGGATATGTAGTTGGAAAAGGAGAAAATATTTTAATAACCTTTTCAGATGATATTGCATGTTATTTTTAAAACCAATACGTTACTTTTGAACATTCCATTTTTTTTAAACCTAATATAGTGCAATTGTGCTGTTCAAAAAATAGCAATAAACTGTTTCGTCCAACTGAACTAGCCATTCCCACTTGCATGCTGAGTGGCCAGAGACTGTAGGAAGATCTTGTTCTTGGCTCCTGTTTGAAACCAACAGCTACAGCAAATCACTGGTCTTGATTTAGGGCCTCTGGATTATTCTTTAATCTTACACCAAAGCTCAACAAATGGTAGTTACTGAAAGGTCAGTTGCCCTTTGAAATCAGAAACCTTATCAATCAGCTTTATGAAACCATATCAAAGAAGTGATGAACTTTAGTATTGTCATCAATTTTCAACCTTGTTTATTATCCAATATAATGATGTTTTACTCTCTCAAAATCCACTGTTCTTTTTTTGCACTTGGAATCATTTATCCAGGCATCAAGTTACACCATGATGTACTGGTAATTTAGAGAATACTGTTTCAATACATTCTGTACTTCTTTCAAATGCTGACACATTTCATTATACAGTATCATAAAAATAACAAGTGTTAATATCACCACCTGATCTCATCAGAACAATCTTCAAATTTAGAAATCAGTCAAGTTTTCATGGACAGAAAAAATTTCTAAAATTTTACTTTCTGTTTGAAAGCTGGAGTTGTTTATTAAAAATAAATGCTGTTCATTGTTTCCCTTGAAGCAACAGACTCACTTTGTTCATTTTTTGAGAAAATGTCTGTCAAAAACCTAAGTCTGTTCATATTTCTTGTTTTTTTTTTTTTTCCAGGTAAAAAAGGTATCCCATGAAAAATGAGTGAGTGCAGCTTTCAACTCAAGCAACTGTCCAGGTACTATCCTGTTTTACCACTTTGTACTTTGATATGGGTCAGGAATGTCCCATATCATCACGCAGAATGTTATAAAGATGTGTGATCAAAGGTCAAGATTTAATAACAAGTACAACTTTAATTGGTTCATCAAGGATGATCCTAAGTAAAATTAGGTGTGTTTTTGGTCTATGAATATCTGATGCAGCATGATACACTGCCTTGGTTCATGCAAAGGATCCAGCATTCTTTCCTTTTTACTGGCAAAGTATGTTTCCCACTACTTCTTTTGCATCCTAAGTACAAATACAAATACAAATACACACACAAACACACACCAGTGTCTCAGTTTTACTATGAAAATGGTTTTAACCACTTAGTTCAACCAGAGAGTTTTTAGGGGACTGCTGGGTCCACAGACCACACTTTTGAGAAACACTGGAATACTATAAAGGTTTCATGTAATACAGGTGATTTTTTTTCCAATTTTGGATAATATTTTAAACTTCTATAGCACTATTAATAGTTCCAAGAAAGAATGTCTTAAAGAGTCATTATGTCATTGGATAGGATCTAAATGTGTATCTACTGTATTTGAATTGCAAAATAGAAAGACACAGTCTCTGGTCTTGCCACCATCTATTTGGACAAGTAGTTCAAATAAATACAACTTCTTCAAATCCCTTTCTGTCTTTAACAGCTCTTCATTCTTAAGACAAAGTATTTCTAGGATATTCTTATTTAGGAATATACAGGGAAGCAAAAAAGGTTATTCCAGATTTCAGAAATGCATCTAATATCATCTTAAATACTATAAACTATGACATGTAAAAATATATGGGAAGCATGCTCATAGGACTTTCAATTTTGTTAAGGAGACAGGGTTTAAAAATCACAGATATTCTGACTCACACAGTTATGTTACAATAAAGAAGAATGAAGGAGTCATATTGATAATAAGTGGGAGAGAGTTATAACTACAGAGATGAACAAAATCACAGATTTTTTTATAACCTCTTCTTTTGAGCTCACCTGTTTCCCTGTAAAACTTATATGTTCCCTATAAAACTAATCCCCAGTTCTCCAGAATGGAATGTATTTAGCCACAGCATCTTCAAAGTGTAATTAAGTTCAAGTAGAGTCATTAGTGTGGGTCCTAATCCAATATGACGGGTGTTAAGAAGAGATTAGGGCACTGACATGCAAGAAATCATAGGGACAAGATGGCTAATTACAAGCCAAGGAGACCTCAGAAAAACACAACCCGTCAACACCTTGCTCTCAGACTTTCAATCTGAAGAATCTGAAAAATACTGTTCTGTTGGCTAAGCCCCATCTGTGCTAATTTGTGACAGCAGCCCTGACTAACTCATACTGCATTAGATTTCTCTTGCTATGCGGCAAACTGCCACACACTTAGAATCTCACAACACATATTTAACTACAGTTTTGGTGGGTCAGGAACTGAAGCCTCATTGAACTGACCCTTTACTGTAGGGTCTCTTACTAGGCCGCAGTGAAGCTAGCAGTCAGGGATGGGGTCTCATCTGAAGACCTGACCGGGGGAATTGCTACCAAGTCCACATGGCTGGCGGCAGCATTCAGCTCCTCAAGAACTGCAGAGCTGAGGGGCTTAGCTCCAATTGGCTGCTTGCTGGGGATGCTGCAAATTCCATGTCATGTGCCTCCTGGGGAGCTTCATCAAAGGCTCCATTGGAAAGAGCCTGCTAGCAAAAGCAACGTTCTTACCTCATCGCACCAAGGACGGCCAATATACTAGCCATGCGTGAGTTTCTAGGAAGGCCCACTTTTAAGAGGAGGGGGGGTCTACAAGGGTTGGAATGTAGGGAGGTAGGGGTTGCTGGACCATCTTGGAGTTTGCTGCCACAAACGATGTTTTTAAGAGTGCTCTCTGAGCTCTGCTATCCTTCTATACGATCATGTAACTTGGTGATCTCCCATGAATCACCCAGCACTCTGAACTCTCCCATCGGGGCATGTTTTGACATCTCAAATATGATGATAGAACTGAAGTTTTCATGAAAACCAGAATTCAGCAATAATGAACATGCCTGTCACCTAATGTGCTTCTCATTCAAAATCAAGTTCATAACTTTCCTTTAGAGACAGTAGGCAGGTGAGGAGGCGTGATTAGGTGTCTATTATTACTAAAAGCACATTTCTTTATTTATCCTGCTGAAGATATGAGTTAGTATTACATTAAAATTTCCTTTACTTTTAATTCAGTCAGCCAAAAAAAAAAAAAAATACATCCAACCTCATGATTCCCAGTTCTCATAACCTCCCTGGTAAAAGGCAAAGACAAATAATAAAAGGCAAGACATTTATAACATTGTTTATGGCCATTTGAAGATTTTCTTTTATTGTCCACACACCCTGCAGCTAGTATGGGATCAGTCTCATTGATCAGTTAGTATTTATTAAAGTGCTCAAATTATAATCGTTTGGCTTTATTCTTCCTTTGAAACTCAAGACCATGCTGTTCCGTGAATACAAATGTAACCCCTCAGGCGGTCATCTTGTCCGGTCTGATGAGGTACGAGCCGTTATAAGTACAGGACTGGAGACCCACATATAAACAACGCCCATAGGAAAATCTAACATTGTTCAAAATTGATCAGTAGAGAATAGTATTATCTAGCACACAGACTTCTGGATTTTAAAACTGCTCTTGACAAATTTGAGAAAATGTTAACTATTCCTGCCCATCTTTAAGATACTTTTTTAAAACATATATAAGGTATTTATTTCAAAGGAAGTGGAAAATGTGAACTGGACCTAATGAAGTAAATCCTTCACTCCAGTCACAAATGAAATGTTTGGAAATTTCGTGACCAGAATAACTGGTTACAAATGGAAAGTGAAGTACTGACCAGGAACCACTTTCACAGAGGACAGGAATATCCAGAAAGCGACAGAAATGACAACTTACTCACTTGGGAACTTTTATCAGTAAGTACATTTAAAAAATAACTACCCCCCCCCCAACACCAAAGCTTTAAACTGTTGACCTCTCAGGGGAGTAGAGGGGGTGGACTTAATAATCATCGCTTTCCTACATAGACGACATCAAATAATTTTATCTTTTTTGACACTGCAGGGTCATTAAAGTATTAATTATTACAGCGACTTATACAGAGAAGCCCTAGGAGGTTACTGAGGTCTCTGCCCTGAGTCCAAACCTGACCCTGGCTGTGCTTTGTGGAACCACCTGGGAGGGGTGAGCAATACCCAGAGCAAGGGAAGGTGCGTGGCCTTTTGTTGTGATGAGTCACCTGCCACCCCTTCCCGAAACACACACACGCACACCAGTGTAAACGTACAACAAATGTGGACATGGCTACCCGCACCCAAAAGGGCTGCCTCTTCTAATTCCCCCTCTCTACACACAGATTCCCACCCCTAAAATAACCACATGGAGCAGCACAGGAACAGGCCCTCCTCAGGCCCAGGAAAGTGCCACATTTATCCTCCACTCCACTAGTAAGTTGTGTTTTGTGGCCTTTGGGCTTGACAGCTTACACGCTGCCTTTCTGCCTGTCTCCTGGGTGCTTCCTTGGCCCTGTGCTCCAGTTTGGCATCAGTGCTTCAGATCACATCTATTTTTGAAGGCAGGTTAATCCTGCTGCTCTGCTCCAACTCGATTCTCAACTCTTTTCACATTTATTCAGTTTCTAAGAAACCAGTCGCAAGTGAGAGACACTCCTACTCTCCCTCTGGAACCGACCTCGCCAGCCGACTTCTCGAGAGGGGAGAGTCAACAAAACGGTCCAAAATACATTTTTTGTTTCGTGACATCTGTTTTTCATACCTTTTCTATTTCTTTATGAATTTGACTGTTCGTCCCCTGAAAATAAGAATTTCCAGTGCACATAATAGGCATGCAATAAGTATCTGCCGAATGAATGCATGGATGAAATTGTCCTTCCTTTCTATCACAACTGCTGTGAACTAAGAAGCGAGAAAAACAAGAGTGTAACTTAGCAGGGACACACGCTCCTTCTCTGAATGGGAGGCTCCACTGCATTAGCACAGGGAGTCTGAGACACTAGGTGGCCAGTCAGGAGCCTTGCTTTCAAGGGTTGGGATTAAATACTGAATTCATCGCTTCTTCTTAGAAAACTACTTGTAGCTGAACTACTGGTACCTAATGAGGCATGCTTGTGGTAAGAATATAGATTCTGTTCATTTAAGTGGGTCACATCTTAAATCATAGTGTATGACACGAGGACATACTGAAGTCACTTGATTACAGACTCTGAGTGAGACGTGTAGGGGTCCAAGCTATCATTCCTATAACAGGAGGTTTTTAAAATTCATAATTAACTGTTACACTTTATTTTTATTCTTTTGAAC